GTCATGTACAAGTTCTTCATCGGGGTCGAGTCACCGTCGCCGACTGGTGTTCATAGACTTCTCTCCTTTAGAATCCAACAAATATTAGAATTTTAAGAGATTCTATTGGATCAGCGAGCGAAATATGAATTAAAATTTACATGATGGCTTCCAGACGAAGATAGTGCAAGATTCATCCGGTGATCGATTACAATGGTTTCTAGTAATGCGAATAAACTGTCACGGCTTCATTCATGAAGAAGCCTTAAATACGATGTCGTAGGGACAATAAGTAAGGGAATTGTATGAACATTTTTTGTGAGTTACTCTGGAGAAAGTGATGTCAAGTTTAATATGACAGGAAGGATTTCGCCGTTGGTGTGACCAAACGAGCATATCGTGGGAAAAACTGGATGAGATTGCTGATTGGGGTCGGAGAATTCGAATGAACGAAACGCATATCTTGAGTTCTTTTCTATTACTGGTTGCTGGAGAATACGACGATGGCTCGACAAGGACACATGGTTAGCAAGTAGAACATCGGATTACTTATAGCGAATATGAAGAACAAAATGACTAGATATTAACTCATCTGATAGCATCTATCGATCAAAGTTTAAATCGTGTACGTAGTTCAAGTTTTGTTATAAGTGTAGTTTAGCGTTTGACAGAAGAAGAGCACAGATGAAATCGGCGAAAGAGGAGACTCGCAGTGATAGGCCTGTTAAAAACATTCCACGAAAAAAATCAGCTTCCGATAGCGCATATATAATAGATTTCATGGGAGAAAAGGAAGGAGAGACTATCGTGCTTGATGACAGAAGCACCTCACACGTAAAATCTTTAAATAAACTAATGAGCAAGCAGCTTTGAGGAAATCTACCCAGAAAGAAATTTGTCGACAGTAGCGTAAATTAGCTGAGGAAAACTGAACATTTTTTGGGGACACAAGACAAGCTCAAGAATACTTATCAAGGGCTGGCGAGCGCAGAGTCCGAACTGAAATAACCAGCATCATCTTGTTGTTTTAAGTATCTGAGGCGTTCTACCGACGTTTGAAGAAATGCACGATTTTCCAACTTGGATCTTGGCATGTTCTACTTGTTTTGGACAGCTGGACAGAATATTTCAACTCTGCTGTATGCTGAACTAATGCGTTTACATCCGGCATCACTGATATTCCTCAGTCAATCCGATTCGTGTTCTCCTCAATAAACATCTCTGGAATCTCTTCATCAAGCGCCGCAACAACCTCCGGCGCGACATTTTCCGTTGTCCACTCCATTGATATTACACAAGTCTGATAAAACCGCCACAGCGTTCAAACCTTTGTTCATCTAACGCCTATGTCATTAATGAGGCAATATTGGGTTGAGCGGGTGCCGTGAGGCTGTGGCGCTATCCCTGAACGTCTCTTGCTGAGTTCCTAATTGGCTGTGTATCAAGACAACCTAAAACAGACCCATGTAGTCCTTCATTGGCTTCATACATCCAACACATGCAACAATGGACGGAGATTCAAACGATAAAAAATGAAAATTGTGGCGATGCGTGCGTCTGTCTAAATGGCGACAAATGGCAAATACAGAATTGATATATCCTTGATGTCTTGTAATATAACAAATTACAGCTATTAAAGACACCTCAAGATAAGGTGAATCAAAACTCCCGAGACTACGATTACACTTATCATTTCGAGGAAATGCGACAATGAGAAGTGGAATTCGTGTTCCACTCTTACTTCGGGCTGCGTGTCCTCGTTGAGACGGCGTCGGCTTACTTTATGGCTGCCAAATAGTTCGTTACCATTTTGAGTAAATGTGGGCAAAGCTCGGGCTGTAAGCTTGTGGTTGGTGGCGTCAATAGTGTTGAAAGCCTCCCGTAAAGCTCTCATCCTTTTCAATTCGAA